GCTACTCTAGCTCCTACTACCGTCCAGCGCTGAAGACTATTGCTAACGCTACTACTACTACTACTACGGCGCTCCTCCAGAGTGCAGCTGCCGAATCCTGAAGACTACCTCCTGCCTCCTGCACCTGAAGTGCCTGGGAAGTTCCTATGAACTACCTCGTGACTGCCTGCAGCCTGTAGGGCGGGCCAGTCGTATATAGTGCTGGCCCGTCCAGGAGGCTGCTCTTGCCAATGCCAAAACGTGCCAGACCCTGGCGTTGAAGTTCAAATGAACGTTGTCTTGAAAACAGGCCCAAAATGGCCTGTGCTAAAACCCTGGTCTGGTGCCTAAGTTTCAGGGCAGGTCGATCTTATGAGGGTGTGAAAATGGTCCTCCATGGCCTGTAGGTCCTTGTTTTCAGCCTTTCAGGCTGAAACGACACAGGGCCTGTAGGCCCTCGTTTTCCAGCTGTTAGGCTGAAATGAAAACAGGCCCTACACCTACGGACCCTTAGTCTACCTGGTCAGGCCCTGCTGGGCCCGTGTGGTACTGAGTATGCCACACTACATGGGTTGATTGGTCGCGACAAGGAGGGAGATTGGGATCTGTGGATGATTGGGGAACTGGTACTCACCTGAGATTGACGTCGATATTGTGCACTGCTGTTTGTCTTCATTGTCTCCATGAGAGGACAGTGCCACGTGGCATTTCTATGCGATCAGGACTTGTCTGGATACTGATTGATGACGTGGAGGCGAGGGGAAGCTTGGAGAAGGAGTGGGTAATGTTTGGGCTACTCTTTTCGTGCTCATTGATTCTCTTCCACCCTCTTACCTGTCTATTCCCCCTCCACTCTCTTAATCTATTGGTAACGAGGCGTTGTATCTGATATCACTTTCACGATAATTGGAGACATTGTGCAGATCTGAGTCAACTTGTACTTCGACGTCTGACGAGTATCTTCCAGTCTGGGCTCATTACACCCTTCACTACTAGAGCCAGTTCCTGCAGAGTATTTCATCATTTCAGAAAAATTTGTCATGAACATTCTCGTTACACATCAAGTTTTCTTACCCTCGACTGCCAGCGCTCATACTGTGCCTGCAGCGACTTCCCAACTGTCTCTACAGCCCTTTTGGGTGGCATGCTACTCGGCTCTGCAGACAAAGAGCACACAAAATCATAAGAATCCATCCCGCCATCAATGTGAACAGATTAGCACTAGATGACCCGTTGCGGCTTCACCCGTGAAAACAGAAAAAGAAAAAAGCACAAAAGAAAGACAACGCATAAGGAACTGCCCTATCATATGCCGCTTATTTCACAATAAGAAAAAACAGAGCCTGAGAGTAGACGAAAACCCACGTGCAAGAAAATAGCACGGAATACCACCGAACATTCTTTTTTCTTTATCTTTGCGTGTTTTGTTTGGGGAGCCGTTACCTTTGCAGCATCGTTTTTGTTTTGTGCTGTGCAACTTTTCTGAGAAAATCCAGTCCGTTGTCCCGTTGATGTTTTTGGTAAAGATTCAGAATCAGACTTTGTTTGATGTGTTCTCTGGATATGTTTGTGATCAAGCGATCTTGCATGTATGCCCCGTGCTTACTTGTTGACTTTGGACGCTGTGTGTGCAAGTACAAGCACGTGTGGGTGAGTCTCAGTTTCGTGGGCTCGGATGATGTCATTGACGATTGGCCCGGGGAAGTTGTTGGAAGGTGCCTCCAACTATAGGAACGCCACTGATGTTAAGCAGGTTTTGCATTGTATGAATGAAAACAATCAGCATTCAATCTGCTTGGCAGTTGCTCTCCGGGTGGGGGACTTGTTGGGAGTAGCATTGACATGAGAGCCATAATGTCGGGCATGCATCTTGGAACACTTCCTGGAAGGCAAAAGGCAAAGAAGAAACGAAGTAGCACGTGTCAGAGTCCCATAATGGACAGCTTCGCACAGTCCCCCCGTCTTCTCTCTCTCTCTCTCTCTCTCTCTCTCTCTCTCTCTCTCTCTCTCTCTCTCTCTCTCTCTTCCCCCTTTGACTTCGAACCCTTTACTCCACCCC